CTAGGACTGAACATTAAAGGGAGCCTGTGGCAGCCTGCAATGCTTGCTAGGTGACCACCTATATCAGAGGTTCTCAACCTTTCTAATGCCGTGACCCTTTAATATAGTTCCTCATGTTGTGGTGACCTCCCAACCATAGAATTCGTTTCATTGCTACTTCCTAACTGTAATTTTGCTACTGTTATGAATCGGGCGACCCCTGTGAAAGGGTCGTTCGACCCCAAAAGGGGTCAAGACCCACAGGTTGAGAACCGCTGACCTAGATCCACCTGTTGAGCGGAAATGGGAGAAAAGCAGCGAGAGAGAGGCAGGTTGAGTCTGGCCACTGACACCCATGGACCTGGTTCACAAGAACTAGAGGAGAAGGCAAGAGCAGGTTGACTGGTCTAAAGTTCATGACCTAGCATAAGGGGGCTAGCCTTGTTGAGAATTTGTGATGGGACCCATGGTCTAAAGGCAAGGCAGCTAATGGGCACCCTGATGAGGCTAAGTGAGGCAGCCTGCAATTCAGATGACCAGAACCAAACCAGATGAAGAGAAGATTTTTCAGCTTGTGAACTGGTGCATATTGCTGCTGACTTTATGGATGGCCTGTCTTGATTTGACTTTACTTATGGATGCAAATTTCACAAAGTTCCAACTGGAATGAAGATGCTTCACATCAAAGAATATCATTGTCTCCTTAGAGCACTGGGTTGATGTAAGTGGGCAGTATAGAATTGGATACCCAAAATGGGGGGATAAAGGCATGAAGTGGATGGCTTACAAACTTTCATAAGTGGGGGAATATATTCATAGGATTATATTTGCTTTTTTTTTTTTTAAAATAAAGGATCCTTGAAATCCCAGAAATAAAAGATTCAAGCAAAGTAGATTTGAAACATAAGCAGCATAGATGGCTCCCGCGCATTGCTGTGCCTGATAGCTGACTTCATTTCCATAGAGGGCTGGCCACTTGCCAGAGTGACAGTTATTCTAGAAAACACATGCCTGCCTGAGATCCTAAACCGAGGCTTACGGCAAATTTTGCTGTAAAAATGAAAGGCTCAATTTCTGCCATTAAATCTCCCTTGGAGAATACAATTCCAAAGGAAAAGAACAGGCCCACAGACAATATGGCTGGTTCTAAAAGACCTTTCAAACTTAAAGAGAAACATGGCACTGAAGCATACTATACCTTTAGATGATACAATATTCACATTTAGCTTTAATTATTCATCATAACAGCTCAAAGGTTTAATAATACGAAATAAAAACAAAATAAATCATCACATCTATGTTCAAATGAGTTTAAGATAAGACTATGAAAGGTACAGAATTTTCAAAACAGAAATTCTTCCAGATATTTTTCATGAACTACTTTAACAGAGTTTTCTACTCCCTAAAGAGATAGTCTCAGAAACCCACATGGGGCAGTTCTATCCTGTCCTATACAGTTGCTGTGAGTCAGTACCGAGTTCAATAGCAGTGAGTTCGTTTTTGTGTTGTTTTTAAATTTTAATTTATGATAGATAACACTACAGCTAGCATCATCCAGTGCACTTAGTGTTACACAGTATACAGTAAGTAAATTTATTACATAAATTACATAATGTATTAAGAATAGAATTATCAAAATGTTAAGCTATTATTTGGTGACATAAACCTCCATCTAAGCATATACACCTCTGAAGGCACTGTTTTCTTTTTTTCCTTTCTTATCTAGAAATATATTTATTACATTATTTCATTTTTACACATGTACTATATGTATTCATGCATATGTATATTTCTTTTTAAAAATCATTTTATTGGGGGATCATACAACTCTTATCACAATCCATACATACATCCATTGTGTCAGGCAC